AGCAAGATTTCCCCTTGGTGAATCCATGCTGACTACTCTTGAGCACCTTCTTGTCCTCCATGTGCCTGGAGACAACGGCCAGTATGAGCCATTCCATCACTTTTCCGAGGACGGAGGTGAGGCTCACTGGCCTGTAGTTGCCTGGGTCCTCCTTCTTGCCTTTTTTGAAGACTGGCAGGACATTGGCTTTCTTCCAGTCCTCCAGCACCTCCCCCATTCTCCAGGATCTTTCAAAGATGATGGAGAGCGGCTTAGCTATGACATCTGTCCGCTCCTGCAGCACTCTGGGGTGCATCCCCATCTGGGTGCATCATTCTCACAGCTATACCATGCTTGGCTAACTACAGAGGTTTGCTCATTTCTAGTGTGATTCTTTCTGCAGTGGGCCTTGCTGTTTCAGCCGAAGTGAACTAGCCTTGACAAGGAGGTAGGTGTTATGATTTCTGCATCTAGATCTGAAAATACCTGATTTCTTGAGCAAAGCTTGGATCATCCTTTCTGCCTAGAATCACCCTTTCTCCCAGTGATGGGAAGGACTTTTTGCTTGGCAAAGCTAAATTGGCTTTGCCTTCTACTTACAGAATTGTGGAAAATGTCTAAGCAAAAGTTTTCTTGTCATGTTCAAGCTAAACCACATTTGTCTATGAACCTCCTTTTGCAGCATATGACCAGGAGACTGTAGCACCTGAGTGTAACAGAACTGCCTGAGTCAGATTTATAGCAGTATTTGGGTAATGGTAATGGCATACAGGTTAATGCACTGAGTATTCTGCTGATCCTTTCTATTTTTCAGTTTTATGAAGCTAGGGTATAATTAAACTTTGTTTAGAAAGCTAGTACTAGAAGCAGTCAAGCTACTTGCTATAAGCAAATTATTCAGCTGAACACGATCTCTTTTTCTGCCTGAGCTCTGGTCATTATTTTGGCTAATGCTTGGGCAGTGCTAATTTGACTGTTTCCTAGCATGTATTGTTGTTTGCTATCTGCTTCAGTTGCCTTGCTGCTCACTGTGTGCTGCATGACTGATCATCAAAAACTTCCTATAGAGCGATTGCGGGAAGATGGCATGCCGCTAGAATAAGAGGATACTGACAGGCTGTGTGACATGCTAAGTCTGCAGAGCAGTCTGCTTACTAGATCTGCAGAGTTTTTCCCACTAACAGTGTGTGGTTTCACTTAAGTAGTAAGAAAAATCATGCTGAATTTGAGAGAGTGATTGTAGGCTGTTAATTTCCTAATGATTGTCCTCTTGTTTCCAGGAGTATTGGTTGATATTGGGATATTGTGTGTGTGTGTGTGTGTGTGTGCTTTTTTTTGTTTTTTTTTTCCCCTGCCATTATCTTTCAAATGAACATATGGTTACTAAATTATTAACAACTTCTTTTTAGTATCTCCGAGTCTATTCCAGAAATTCTGAGAGAATGTAAAAGAAACAATTAGCTTTTTGCCTTATTATACCAGTATTTCTCAAACCACAAATTCAAGTGGTCTTTTGTACTTATCTGTCTTCAAACAATCATCTCAGTTTCCTAGCTCTGTCTAGTAAGAGCTGACATTGCTAATGGTTAGTTAGCTAATTGTGAACAGCTTGTAGCAGCTTGTTTCCTTCGTTGGGTGCGTGAGAAACAACTGCAACTTTTGTATGTAAATCTAAAAGTTCACTATCTTGTTTTGGTGTCTGAGCCAGCAAAAGGTAGTTAACTATTCCCTGGATAATGTAAACCCTTCAGTAGATATATTGTGAATTTTGTGTGCTTTAAATCTTAGTATTGTTACCTTAATTCATATTAAAAACGGTATCTAGCCTTTCAGACACTAAATGGGTGGCTATATGGAATCTTAAACCTAGGTGAAATAAGCTATGATATTAGTATAATGTCAGTAGAATATTTGAATGCTGTAATGCAGGTCAGGAAGTAGGCTCTTATCAATGACCTTGAATTTAGTATTATAAAAACATGGTCTGACTTGCTCTTTATATCAGTAAATCAATTGAGCTGAATATAACTGCATCTAGAAAGAGATTATCTAGACAGTAGTGAAATTCATTTGGCTAATGACAGTCTGAAATGGGGTGTGTCACTATTAAAACTAAAATAGATTCTCTAGTTTCTAAAGGAGACGGTTGTACTCAAAAAATGAATGTCTCAAACACTAACGATGCAAAATGAAGGCATGTTGAATGAGGGGACCGTGAGCAAAGGTCAGAATCTTGCTCTTTGTGAGTGAAACTCTAAAATGTCAGAGTAACATCCTTGAAAGTACAAAGTAGAAAGCAACAAAGCTTTAATTACTCAGAAGAGACAGCTATAATTAGGAAAAGCTTGTCTTTAATTTTTTTCCCCCTAGGAAAGTGAACGGAGGTGCCAAAAATTGATAACGATATTGTTAACTGCTGTTCCTTTATCTAAACCATGACAGAGGTCGTCTTCTATCTCTTCTCTCAAAATGCTGTGGAAGTAGCATATGCATATATATTTTAAATCTCAGAATATCTGACATTAGAGACCATTGCAAAATTTGGAACTTGAACTTTTTTTTCTGTGACTTTTTTTTTAGGCTGCCACGAAAGAAGAAAACAAGAATTTGTGCAAAGGAGATAAAATTAAATGCTACTGGATAACCTTTTTCAAAGCCAAGGAGTTGCTACATTTTTTTTCTTTTAATTTATATTAAACTTCCTTGTTGCATGTAATTAAATTATGGGACATTATACTTTAAGGTGTTCCTGGAATCAGGCTAATAAGCGTATGTAGGATTAAATATTTATATGGGAAGTTAGAAATTATTTTCACTGAACAGCAACAGTTTTTAGAGAAGTTATTAAATGTCCTGGTTTAACATTACAACTGATAAATAATATTTCATAATCCTATACATGTACAATTACTCTGTGTATTTTCTTGTAGGAACCACCATCAGGCACTAGAAACTGGTATGGAAACTAACTTTTTACCCCTGCCCCCTTCCCCTTTTTAATATCCCTAATATTTCTATTCATAAAAGCACTCTGCTTTTGTGATGTTGCAGTTTGTGTGCTGACTTGGCCCTGCCCAGCACTTACTGCTCTCTCCTGAAGGTTCTGGTTGAACTGCTCACGCTGCTGTCAGATACTGGGAATTTCCTTGGAGCTGAGGTGGTGTGTAGGTTGAACAACTATGCTGGTCTGAGTTCAGGCATGGGAGTGAAGGACCTACAGCTCTTCCTCTGTGGTGTCTTGCACGATGTGCTAAGACATCATGATGAGGCACAAAAAGAGGATACTGCAGCTGAACCAAGTGAGAGCCAGACAAACAGGCAGAAGAGTGGGAAACGCTCAACTGGAAGCTGGAAAAATAACCCAAGTGTGGGTGGTGGTGTTTTTTAAACTCACCCATTTACGCATATACTTACCTAAATAAGTGTTTGTAAACTCAGTGCAGTTTAACAGATAATGAGTCATCATTCTGGTTCTGGTCCATGCAGAAGATAGGCTGATACTGCTGCAGTTATTTAACCGACAGAGAGGTGTATGGTGTTTCAGCACTGATGACAAACACTTGGGTGTCAATATGACGACATCTGACAATGTCTGCTTACTTGGTAACGTTTAGAAATATGGTCATGCACACTTCTAATGTACCTGGAATGGACGGAGTCAGGTACAGCGAGTCTGTTGAAACATAGTGAACGAGGGCTTCTTAATCTGCATTAGTACAAGGTCAGTCACTTTGTTTTAAAGCACTTTCTTTGACAGCTTAGTTGCCTTTTTCCAAACAAGGTGATGAGCCTCATGTGTTCCATTGATTCTAAAGAGTGAATAGCATTCTTGATCAAAAGGCTATGTGTCAAACTGCCTCAGATCATTGGGTACTTACCCATGCATTTTAAGAGAGACTTGTATGCAGGAGATGCATGGTCACAAAGCCAAATTGTTATAGTGAGGTATGTTCAAGAATTTTAATCGTGCTTAATTCGCTTTCCCTATTTCATGTGTGATACAGTGCTGTCTGATTACTTGTATAGATTTGTTTTCCCTCTCCCTTTCCCCATAGGACCCATGAGTCATTCACTGCACAGGATGGGTGGTGGTAGTTTTAATTAGCTTCTGTTAACACTTTTTTTCTTTCACCTTTCAATTATTGTTCTGTGTTGTTACCTTAAGTTTTTCTCTACTATTTGAACCTTCTGAAGATAACACAAAATGGTCATATTATTAGGGATCAGTAGCAATTAATTATATCTTCCCTGTATCCATCAGTTTTCAGCTTTGATGGTTTTTTTTTTTTTAGTTGGATGCAGTTTATTCACTTAAAGATCAATGAATTTTCCTCTGAGTGCATCCAACTTTCTAGTTTAGTTGGGTGAAATGAACAGGTTGCTTCAGCAATGGATTCTTCAGGTGATATACCAATTACATGAAGAACTATCTTTTTGCTCTGGTTAGCTTGATTTAATAGCTCTTGTCTTTTGTACTGGAACAGACAATGAAAAGTCACTTGAAATCAGCATGCTAAGCAACTCAGTTATGACTTTGTAAATCTGTTGTGTCTTCCAGGAATGATCTCTTCTAGACCAAAAAAAATCTAAGCTTATATATGCTATTTCTTGAACAGAAGCTCTTTCATAGTTTGATATTCTGTATTTTTTTAGGGACCTTTTCCAGCTCTCCTTTTTGATGTCGGGAGTAATACTAAACAATATTAGATATAAGGTTGGAACGTGGATTTATGTAGTGGTCTGGTGATGCTCCATATCTCAAACACTTGATCTATTTTTGATAAGCCAAGCAAAGCACTAAGTTGCAGTTTTCATGGGATCATTATAACACAAGATCTCATCCTGGGTACTATAGTGGCCAGCTTGAATCCCATCAGCTCATTAGGGTTTGTCGTGAATTGTGGCTTTGCCTCCATGTAGATAACTACATCTGTTATGGTGCTGCCCACTCAATTTTACAGGATCCTGCCATGAACAACATATCAATAGCAAATTATGGCATCTTGCTCATGGCTCATCTCCTTTTGCAACAAAATACTGTTGTCTCTGGAGATAACTGTGTTTCCATAACAATTGCAATAAATTCACTTGAGACTTAAAATGTCACCAAATGTCATTTTCCAGCTGTGATGTGTGACTGGGAAGTGGAAATTCCAGTTGAGGTGGCCAGGACCCAGATCCTAAAATACAGAAGCAGAGTCCGTCCTCTGAAACTCCTGGTCTGGAACTGCCCCGCATGCAGGGACGTCTGGGGAAGGGCTGACTCCCAAGGAGGAAAAGACAGACATCCTTGAAACAGGGGGAGATACAGTGGCAGGGGAATGGATGCATTAGGATTAGGATTCCTTATTTACCTATTTTACCTACTTTTTATTATCTTCTGTTATGTTTGCTGACCCCTTTGTCCAGATTTCCTAGTCCAAAAAGGTGCCTTACAGTATCTGCTTTCATTTTGTCTTTTTAACCTGCTGGATTGTACTAAAATCCATGCAGTGAAAATCTGAGAAAGGTTTCTGACATGCAATAGTTGCCATATAACCACACACTTCCGAAAAATGAATTCAAGGGAGAAAATGTAATTACCCAAGAGTAATATGTAATGTGGTGATTCATCTCATCAAGAAGCAGCTGCTTTCTTTGTTGTCTTTGCAAGTAGCATTCATTTTCCTGGCATGAGCACAATTTACAAATTCATCCTGATCCTCCCAAGATTCAGATAGCATCATTAGCATATATTTAGTGCTAGCAGACAGTGAGCAGCAGGTACCAATGGCTGGTTGATGAGCTAATGCTTTGGGCACTTTTCCAGTTTGTGTGATAAGAGAAAAAATCACTACTTCAAAGTCTGTCAGTTGCAAACCCATTAACAGAGAAGAAGAATAAAATGGCTTAAAATTCCACATTGTTTAGGGCTATAGGTATACTGACATGTTGCCTAATGTCTAGCATTCTGGTTAAAAGAAAAAAAAAAACCCTGAATGAGAAGATACTTCATCATATTTTCTTCTTATTAAACCTTTTTTTTTCTTTTTTTTTTAAAGGAGATGTCAATAATAAACATACTGTACATCTGCTGCCTACTGGCAATGTGGGTAATAAATATCCAGCAAAGCATTGCTGGCAGATCCTGCTGTCAAAATGGATATTTTCATTTTAGCAAAGGGTGCCACTTTCCTAACCTATGTTGCTGAATAAACATGCGGAAAAACTGAGCAGACATATACCTATCAACCTCTGTTTTAGCGTTGGATGAAAGTAGATATCTGATGCTGGATGGACAACAAATACAGGCTTTAGCAAGGAGCTTGGAGACACCCAGAGTAACACAGCACTGCCATGGGCAGAATGCAATTCAAAATATGTCCATAATTAACCCTGTAGTATCTTAAAAGGAAAAATCATACATTTAAAAGAGACGAAAAAAGCGTAAATTATTGTTACAGTTTGTATTTTTACCCTAACCCATCTTTATTTTGATTTTGTAATTGCTGTGACCTGCTGGCCAATAAACATATTGTATCTTACAGGTCTTTTTTAGTCTGAATCTCATTTACACTCAGATGACTGGTGCCACCACAAGGAGAGCTCTGTGGCAAACAGGAAGGTGAATTTTTCAGGAAGGTGAATTGAGAAGGAAGTAAAAACTGATACAAGTGTTTGCTATCTTGGAACTGAAAGAGTGGGAACTAACTTGGTAACATCATGTTTCATACAGCAGGAGATTTAATTATTGTGAGTGCCCAACCACCAAAAAACACATCCTTTTTCTCTATGCAGAGAACAGGCAGCTGGGGAGAACTGTTCTCCAAAGAAATCCAGTGTTTTGAACATCTACAGATATTCCCAAAGGTGTCTCCTGGGCCCCACAAGCCGGCTGAATCCTTCCTTGGGTCTCAGCATGCTAATGTGGGAGCCCGAGGGGACCCTGCCAGGGGTATCAATGCACTTTTCAGCCATTGCAAAATAATTATTCACAACTGAAAAGAAGCTCAAAGCAGGGACCTAAAAAAACAAATGGTTTATCTCTTCCCTCAGCAACTTCCTCTGATGCCCAAAGGTGGAAACAAAAAAGATCTTGGACTGACTTGAGCTGGGTAATAAGAAAATGTGCTTCAAGAACCTCTGTGCTTAGTAGCTTAATCTCAAAAGCATGTGAAATCAACCTCCTTTTGGCCTGGAAGCTCCTAGGTTCTGTTAAACCCGGCTGGGATCCAGGAAGTGGGAAATGCTGCCCCTGCACAAGCAGGGAGGGTATCACGGGGCCAAAGTGCTCTGAGCGCACATCTCACACGTCCCGAGAGCTCATCCCTCATGTCCTTTCTGTTGAGCAGGCCACTTCCTGGGACTTGACATCTACTTACATTTTTTTTTCAGGATTATTTCTGTCTTCAGTCCAAAGACAGTCTATAGGAAAACAAACAAACAAGCATTTTTAGTTGACTGTGAGTTCAAATGCACCTTGTGCTTAGAAATTTCTACTAGGCTCTAGGCTCCATGTGGGGGGTCTTGTGTCTCATCCAGTGACATGTGAGTCTTGGGTCTCATCCCTCTGAGCTGACCAAAGAGGAAAGTCTGCATGGAAAGTCTAGTGCCGAGTCTAGTTGGAGGCCTGTAGCTAGCGGGGTCCCCCAGGGGTCAGTCCTTGGTCCAGTCCTGTTCAATTTATTCATCAATGACCTGGATGAAGGCACAGAGTGCTCCCTCAGCAAGTTTGCTGATGATACAAAACTGGGAGGAGTAGCTGATACCCCAGAGGGCTGCGTTGCCATCCAGAGGGACCTGGACAGACTGGACAACTGGGCGGTGAAAAACCTCATGCAATTCAACAAGGCCAAGTGCAAGGTCCTGCACCTGGGGAGGAATAACCCCAGACACCAGTACAGGCTGGGGACCGACCTTCTGGGGAGCAGCTCTGCGGAGAAAGACCTGGGTGTCATGGTGGATGACAAGTTGACCATGAGGCAGCAGTGTGCCCTCGTGGCCAAGAAGGCCAATGGGATCCTGGGGTGCATTAAGAAGAGCATCTCCAGCAGGTCGAGGGAGGTGATCCTGCCCCTCTACTCAGCCCTGGTGAGGCCACATCTGGAGTATTGTGTCCAGTTCTGGGCTGCACAGTACAAGAGGGATGTGGAGCTGCTCAAAGAGTCCAGCACAGGGCTACAGGGATGATCAGGGGCCTGGAACATCTGCCCTATGAGGAGAGGCTGAGGGAGCTGGGCCTGTTCAGCCTGGAGAAGAGAAGGCTGAGAGGGGATCTAATCAGTGTCTATAAGTACCTCAAGGGAGGCAGTGAGGAGGATGGTGCTGGTCTCTTTTCCCTGGTGGCCACCCACAGAACTAGAGGTAATGTCCACAAACTGAAGCACCAAAAGTTCCACAGGAACTTAAGGAAAGATTTTTTTCACAGTGAAGGTGACAGAGCCCTGGAACAGGCTGCCCAGAGAGGTTGTGGAGTCTCCTTCTCTGGAGATCTTCAAAACCTGCTTGGACGCAGTCCTGTGCCACGTGCTCTAGGTGCCCCTGCGTGTGCAGGGGGGTTGGACTAGATGACCTCTAGAGGTCCCTTCCAACCTTAAGCATTCTATGATTCTATGATTCTATGAAAGTGCAGGTACCTAAGACAGAGTTTCAGTTTCTAGAACCTGTGTTCAGGGATCAGATGCCTAGAAAAAGAGTGTTAGAGTTCACCTTGCAGGTAATTAAGTACTATATTTAATCTAGATCTTGTTTTCCTTCAGACTCTATTTTTCCAACAGAAATTGATGCAACCAGACTTCCATTATGTTTTATTCGAATCTAAGGGAGAATATGGGGTTTGTTCAGCCGCAGCAGTGACAAGATGCCAGAGCTTATTGTTAGAGCTAAACAGGCTGATGTTGTTTACTAAAATGCTCATATTTTGAAATTATTCAATAAATTATTTCCGTTTAATCAGGTTTCCAATATCGGTCTATTGCAGCATTACCTGTATGCAAATTTTACATGGAAATGTGTGGCATGGTGCTGCAGGCCACTTCTAAAATTGGGAACTATCAGTGCATTTTGTGAAAAGTAATCCTGCAGTCCAGTTCAGCTTATCCTCTGTAACTCTGAGAAAGTCAGGTAGAGAAACGCCAGGTTAATCTGTGCTGATGAGTGCTACATGCACTTTAAGCAATGAGCTGCTTGAACTATGAAGACCTGAGCAAATTTGCAGGTGGTGCAAAGGGCACCCGTAACAACCTCAAGGGCTCAAACCTGAAAAGATAGGTGCTTATGGAATTAGAAGCTTCCAGGACTGAGTGGTGTCTGAGTAGGGTATTTTAAGTGCATAGTTTGGGAATTAGGTGCCTACGTGGCTTTTTGAACATAGTCCCAAACATTCGAGTTCAGCAGCTCCCTGTAGCAACCTGTATATTAGCTTGTGGTGCGTCACTGTGCTGTAATTATTTGGACTACGCCTCTACTGTCTTGCTTGGTGTTGGTTACATATAGACATGAGACAGATTTAAAAAAATCCTAACTAGGTTATCTCCCTTCTTATTGCTACAGATTAGGTTCTGTTCATTGTCAGACTACTTCCTAATGACAAACCTTTGAACAGGATTTTAAAATGAATCAATAGAGTTCAAAATTGTCACTGAAACAATATTACAATGACAATTATTCGCAAGAGACAAAAGAAGTGTCATACAGGTAAAATATTGAAAAAGTGTTGCAGCTTGTGAAGGAATGGACTCAGTCTGGGATGCAGAGTGAGACAACTTTATTTTCAAACCAACTTATTTTTATACTCTCTTAACACAAGTGCTGCAAAGCTTACAACCAATCAGCATCTTGCCACCCGTTAGGTTGTAAATATCTTGTTTTCCTGGCTTTGTTTCTTCTGACAAGACTGACATCCTTGTGATCTGCTAAGACTGACATCCTTGCAGTTAACTATCTGCTAACATTACTAACAAGGTACTATTATCTTTGAAGTGAGCCTCCACATCTCACCCTTCTTTATTTGTTTTTAGTTGAACAGCCATGACTTAGTTAAATGATCAATCAATCATTCCTTGAACACATAATAAGAAACAAAGCAGACACTAACAATAAACAAAATACAGTTAGTAGAAAATGCAGTTAGTACAAATGAACAAAATACAGTTAGTACAAAAATTAGAAACTTTGCGTTAATATGGCTAAGCAAAAGGTTGTTTAGTTTGTCGCGTTTACTCCCATGGTTTGATTCCAACAAGCATAACAGTGTCCTTTTCCCAAGGTCGCTCCACCAACACTCTCGAGTCTGCCCTTGAGACCCCCACACCTCCCCCTTCTTTATTTATAAAGAATGCTTGTTTCAAGGCATGGTCTATTAAACATTGAATTGTTTTTAACAATCATGGGATGCAAATTAAAAGGCAAACAAAGATTATTAAACATATCAATCTTATCTTCAATATTCCCTTAATCCACATGGCTAATCCTAAATTCCCCAAAAGATTCCCCAAAATATTGAAACCAGCATCTTGACGTACGTGCTGAGGCATAAATACAAGGCGAGAAGGTATCAACAGAAACATGTACATATTTACATCTGCCAAATTCAGGGATATGCGTTACATCTGATTGCCAAATTTCAAGCGCAGAAAGACTGCAAGGGTTTACTCCGATGGATGGTACTGGTAAAATGCGCTGGCAGTCTGGGCATGACTGTATGATTTGTCTAGCTTGTTCCCGAGTCAATTGGAACAACCTCCGTAACTCTTTTGCGTTTTGGTGATAACAGTAATGCGACAAACGTGCTTGTGCAAAGCGATCCGGCAGAACTACAGCTCCTGCAAGGCTGTCTGCTTGAGCTTTACCTTCGCTAATAGGTCCAGGCAGCGAGGTGTGCGAGCGTACATGTTGGATAAAGTACGGATAAATCCTTCTGTTTAATAGCCATCTAAGCTTCCAAAGAAGCGCAAAGAGGGTCTCGTTTGAAACCTCTTTTAAAAACGAATGTTCTAACCTAGAGACTAATCCTGCAACATAGGCAGAGTCTGTTATAATGTTAACTGCAGAGGGCCATCGCGTAAAGACGCGGACGACTGCAGATAATTCCACTATTTGCGGTGAACCTGTGACAACATGTATGTCGCTCTCCCAATGCCCTTCATCATTTCTCCAGACTACAACTGCACGACCTGTCCTACCCGAGCCGTCAGTAAATACTGTAAGAGCATCAGGTATTGGCGTAAGGCTCAAATGGCAAAGAGGTAATAGAGAAAGAGAGTTGAAAGACTGTATGATTTTATGTCCTGGAAAGTGAATACTTATCTGTCCTGGATAATCTGCCAAGGCACACTGAAAAACAAAAGACTGGTGAGTCAAAAAGGTTAATTGTTTTGTATCAAGTGGTAAATAAATAATATTAGGCTCTGTGCCATCTAGAAACATCAAACGCTCTCTTCCTTTTTGAATAACCATTGCAATCATATCAATAGCGGTGGTGACAGTTTTGCCAAAATTATGAGGCAGAAACACCCACTCTAAGATTATTAATGGACATGCGTCCTGTGGTATCCATTGTGCTAATAGGCCATAAGGTTGGAAGCTAGAATAAAAAACAAAAAGACTGACAGGATAATTCTGCTTTCGTCTGTGAACAGTCTGAGTGGTTAATTTGTCCACAACTTTACCAAGCGCAGCTCGCGCGGGAGGAGTGAGCTTTCTTGAGGATGTCAAACTCGTGTCTCCTTCTAAGAGCTTAAATAGAGGATGTAATTCTTCTGTGGAAATTCCTAAGGAGGGACGGATCCAATTAATAGTTCCCAAAAGTTTTTGAAGATCATTCAAAGTCCTTATGTCTGTCTTTAGGGTCAATGATTGTGGTCGAATTTGATGATCAGAAATTCTCCATCCTAAATATCGCCAAGGCGGACTTTCCTGTACTTTATCTTCCGCAATTCTTAATCCTGCAGCTGATGCTGCTCGCGTAATCTGATGCAGAGCCTCTTCTGCTGTTTCCTTTTGCTCTGCAGCAATCAATATATCGTCCATATAGTGATAGATGAGGACATTATCAAAATATTTGCGTATTGGGCTTAAAACTGCTGCCACAAATTGTTGACATAATGTAGGACTATTTTTCATGCCTTGTGGCAGAACTCTCCAATGGTATCTGCTATGCGGTTCCATAGCATTGATGGAAGGTACAGAAAATGCAAACCGAGGTGCATCTTGCGGTGCAAGTGGAATGGTAAAGAAACAGTCTTTCAAATCGATTACTATCAAAGTCCATGTTTGAGGTAACATTGCTGGAGAAGGGAGTCCAGGCTGTAAGGCTCCCATATCTTCGATGACTTCATTGATTTTTCTAAGGTCATGTAACAGCCTCCAGGAATTATTTTTCTTTTGAATTACAAAAACTGGCGTGTTCCAGGGACTTGTAGTAGGAACTATATGACCAGCTTGCAATTGTTCATCTACTCCATGCCCCATTGACTCAGACAGTCTCTCCCCCACAAGGTGACAGATCCAGGCAATAATAAATGGTCTAATGGTTGCGGTTCTCCCTTCTGGGCCAATAATATTTATCAGTCTTTTGCTTTGCATTGGGGTACTCTGCCCACCAATTCCCGAAAGCGATGCGTGTGCATTCATTAGCGGTAAACTGCTGGGCCATTGCGAGGCGGTGGTGACTGTAATGTCTGCTCCGCTATGTAAAATTCCTTGAGCACT